TGAAGATTGACCAGTTCTTTTTGGTACAGTGACTCTGTGTATTCTTTCCATCTTCTTTTGATGTTTCCTGCATCATTCAATATTTTGCCCATAGAATTTTTCAATATTTCAACTTGAGGCTTAAATTTTTTTCCTCAGCTCTTTCACCTTGAGCTGTGCTTTGAAATCTTCTGTTCAGCTCTTTTATCTTGTCATTTCCTCCATTTACTTTAGCTACTCTCTGTTCAAGGTCAAGTTTCAGAGTCTCCTCTGACATCCATTTTGGTCTTTTCTTTCCTTGTCATATTTTTAATTATCTCTTGGTTCTTCATGGATGATGTTCTTGATGTCATCTCATAATTCTTCTGGTTTTCGGTCATTGGTGTTCAGTGCATCAAATCTATTTTTTGGTTGGTCTCTAAATTCAGGAGGGATATATTCCAGGTCATATTTTGGCTCTCATGGACTTGTTTTAATTGTCTTCAACTTCAAGTTGAACTTGCATATGGGCAGTTGATGATCTGTTCCACAATCAGTTCCTGGCCTTGTTTTGGCTGAAGACGTTGAGCTTTTCCATCACCTCTTGCCACAGATGTAGTCAGTCTGATGCCTGTACATTTCATCTGGTGAAGTCCACATGTATAGCCACGATTTGTGTTGTTGAAAAAAGGTATTTGCAATGAATAAGTCGGTGATCTTGCACAATTCTATCATGCGATTTCCAGCATTATTTCTGTCACCAAGGCCAAATTTTCCACCTACTGGTGATTCTTCTTTGTTTCCAACTTTTGCATTCCAGTCATCAGTGATAATTAACACGACTATATGTTTGGTCAATTTCAGACTGCAGAAGTTGATAAAAATCTTCAATTTCCTCATCTTTGGCTTTGGTGGTTGGTGCATGAATTTGAATAAAAGTCATATTAACGGGTCTTCCTTGTAGGTGTATGGATATACACCTATGTTCCTTGAAACATTATTCACTATAGCCAAAAAAAAAAAAAAAAAAATGGAAGCAACCTAAGTGCCCATCAGTGAATGAATGAATAATTGTGGTACATACATACAATGGAATACTGTGCAACTATAAAGAATAATGATGAGTACATGAAACATATCATGGATGAATCTAGAAGACATTGTGCTGAGGTGAAATGAGTCAATCATGAAAAGACAAATATTTTATTGTTGTTATTAGTTGCAGTCATATTGGTTTTGACTCATAGTGACCCTGTGTACAGCAGAATGAAACACTGCCCGGTCTTGCACCATTCTCAGATTCATTGTCATGCTCGAGTCCATCATTGCAGACACTGTGTCAATACATCTTGTTGAGGGTCTTTCCCTTTTTCACTGACCTTTTAGCATGATATCTTTCATGATATCTTAGCATGATATCTTTCTCCAGGGCCTAGTCCCTTCTGATAATATGACTAAAGTATGAGAGACATTCTCACTTCTAAGGAGCATTCCAGTTGTACTTCCTCCAAGATAGTCAAGGTTTGATATACACATAGATTCAAAGTCTTTGATAGTTACTAGTGATGGAAGGAATGGGGAGGGGAAATAAGCTTGTAGATAGTGGACATGTGTTACTTTTGGTGATGAAAAAGGCAATCCCAAGTATGAGTGAAGTCAGTACAACTTGACCGAGGTTAATGAAGACACTAAGAAGTACACAAGAAAATTCTGGTAAATGCTATAACATATACAATTTTGTAGCAACAGTAAAACAACCAAAAAATATGTGTATGGTTATGTAGGTAGATATGGATGCATTTACGTATACAAGAAAGCATATTTAGTAAATGCATGTTTACATGTATGTATAGGTGTATCTGTAGGCATATGTATACACACGTTTGTATGCTGCATGTATATCCACATAGGGGGCACAGTTATGGAACCTTCCTTGACATATCCAAACAACTCATGGGATTGGTTTACTGGGTCAAAAGACTTGGGACTAGTCTCAGGACAACTTAGTCAATTGGCATAACATACATAGTTCACAAAGATAATGTTCTACATCTTAGTTTGGTGAGTACCATTTGAGGTCTTAAAAGTTTGCAAGTCGCCATCTAAGATACAATTATTGGTCTCACTCATATGGAGCAAAAAGAGAATGAAGGAAATCAAAGGTTCAAAGAAGAAACTAGTCCACTAGACTAATAGTCCACACAAACCACAGCATCTTCTAACTTGATGTCAGAAGAACTAGACAGTACCTGGATACCACAACCTACTCTTCTGACCAGGGGCACAATAGAAGGTCATGGATGGAATGGGAGAAAAATGTAGACCAAAACTTACATTCTTAAAAAAAAAAGCCAGATCTACTGGACTGATAGAGACTAGAGGAACTCCCAAGACTATTGCCCTAAGATACCCTTTGAATTTGTAACTGAAGCTATTTCTGCAAGTCACCTTTCAGCCAAATAATAGATTCATTTATAAAATAAACAATATTACCCATGAGTGATATACTTCCTGATGAACAGTTAACTGTGTTAGACAAAATGGTCAACATTTACCCAAAAACAAAGATGAGAAAGCAAGGAGGGAAAGGAAAGCTAGATCAATGGAAACAGAGCAAACAGAATGGAAATAAAGAGAATGCTGGCACATTGTAAATACTGTAACCAATGGCACAGAACAACTGATATAAAAATTGTTAAAGGGGAACCTAATTTGCTATTTAAACTTTCACCTAAAACACTATAAAATCTTATTGTAAAAAAACTAATTTAAAAAATTCCTTTTTAATTCAAATCTCATTTCCTCCTTGTGAAAGATTGGTGGTTTGAGTCTACGCAGAGTCACCTAGGAAGAAAGTCTTGGCAGTCTGCTTCCAAAAATGCAGCCATTGAAATTGATATGGAGCACAGTTCCATGACACACATGGGGCTGCTGTTAGTCAGAATTGACTGGATGGCAACTGGTTTTTCACTTTACTTTAAGCCTGCTCCATTCTCCTCTATGAGAAGCAACTGGTCACTATGCCCCCATACTTACCCTGTATTTAGTGGGCTGTGGCTGGGATGCTGTCCCTCAGCCTCTAACTAAATAACAAAGCAGAGTCCCAGGGTCTCACGAAGATAGATTGAGTTCCCCTACCAGCTGTTTTTTATTTTTTTTTTCCTTCCTTTTTGAAAAGCCTGTGCTTCCACTTGACAAAGAGCCCCACTTCCCACATCCAGCCCATTCCTGGAGGCCTGGCAGGTCCAAGCTGGCCTCAGGGGGGTTTAGTTTATGTCATCTTGATGAATTTCCCCCTCTCACATCACTAGGAAATAAGTGGTGCCGATTGTCATTGTTCACTTCTCAGCTGCCAGCTACGTAAGAGAACATTTAGGTACATCCGTCTCCCCTTGAGGCACTGGACCATTCATGGCCATTTTTCTTTTTCAGAACAATAAATCTGAAAAACCCTGTGCTGCAGCAAGTGCTAGAGAGGAGGAACGAAGTCCTGTGCATCTTGACACAAAAGATTGTGACAACACAGGAGTGTATAATTTCTGAGCACAATCAGATTGAAGAGAAGTGTGGTGGCATGATGGGGATCCAAACCAAGACCATTCGGGTGAGTGCCCCAGGGAACAGAGGTCACTGGGTCACAAGTCACAGTGGCCTATCTGGATTCAGTAATAGAGACTTGGCCAGGGACCTCTTTTTGAGGGGGATATCTTCATTAAGGAACTCTGGTGGCGTGGTGCCTAAGGCAATTGACTGCTCACCAGAAAGTTGGTGGTTCAAACCCACCAGCCAGTCTGTGGAAGGAAGACATGGCAATCTACTTCCGTAAAGATTTACCGCCTTGGAAACCCAATGGGGCTCACTATGAGTCAGAATCGACTCAATGGCCATAGGTTTGTTTTTTTTTTTTAATCTTTTAAAGTCAGGACTCTGGAGTGAGTTAACAGACAACTAACTCAGATTGGCTTAAGCAAGAAATCCATCAGCTCACATAAACAAAATGTTGCAGTAATCTAGCTTCAGTCATTATTCAGTTTAGGACTTGAATTTAGAGAAAAGGTGAACGGCCTTCCCTTGGGCTAATTCCCTCTTGATAGGTTCCCTCCTGTGTTGTCAGCTCCTGGCTTTCCTCAGACCCAGGGGAAAGAGTGTGTTCAGATTGGCTCTTACTGGACCAACCTGAATCATGTCCATTCCTGAAGTGGATCCAAGGCCAGGGCAGTAGGACACTCAGATTGGTCAGGTGGGCCTAAGTCAGGTGTCTTCCCTCGTGAGAGTGGGGTTTCCCTGAGGTGATGGGTACTGGTCAAGCCAAATCCATAGATAACCACAGAGCCACCTGGAGCCAGGGGTCTCAAAATAATTACTTTGTGATTAGCTGCCTCAAATCCTTTATGGTTTGAGTTAGTATATCAGTATATCTCTCTATCAACAGATAATTCTGGATTCAGTTATAGATAGTCTTCCCAAGCTGATCCATGAACCAGCATTAAATAAACTTCAATGGAATAAGTGACCATTAACCTGAAACTTTCTCTCCAGTTTGCCATGGTGCCTGATGTAGTCTACTCTTAGAGATTTACTTCTTGGGGTTACATTTTTCTTTTTTTTTCTCTAAATATATTTATTTTTTGTTGTTGTTGTTGAGATAAATACAGCAGAAATATACCAATTCAACAATTTCTACCTGTACAATTTAGTGACACTGACTACATTCTTCAAGTTGTGCAACAATTTTCAACTCCTTTTCTTAATTATTCCTCCCTTAATTATTATTAAACTCACTGCTCCCTAAATTTCCTATCTAATCTTTTGAATTGCTGCTGTTTATTTCATCTCATATAGATATTTCTTAAAAGAGCACAATGCTTAAGGCAGACATTCTATATTAATTAAGCTAAATTATTGTTTGTTTTAAAGAAGACTTCAGGAGATTAATTTTGGCTTAGGGTTTAAAGATTATCTCAGGGCAGTAGTGTTGAGGGATCATCCAGCCTAAGTGGCTCAGAAATATTGGGGTTAACTTTTGACTTTTTCTACAGGACCCAGGAAGGTTGTATTTGGAAAGAGGTAGAGATACAGGTCTGGAGCTAGGACTCTCCCTGAGGACTGCTGGCCAGGCAGGCTGGATAGCAGCTTTGTGGGAGGAGCCTGGTAGGAGATGGCTTAAGTTGGCCCTGTTGATGCTTCTGCCTGCATTTACCACCCACCAAAGCCCTGGAGTCCACTTAGGGAGTCAGGGTGCTGGACTGCCAACTCCTCACTCAAAGCATCACACTCTGATCAGAATCAAGTTGTCTAAAAAGTTCTTTAATCTCCAGTTTCGGGCCAACAAACAGAGTTTCTCACCTTCATTTCTGTAGGGAATTGTAGGAAGGGATTGTATTTGGGAGTGTTTGCAGGAGAGAGTTTTGGTGCCTAATTTCTTACCAGTTTCCTGTCTGTTCTCTAATCCTGCTCTCCTCTCTCCAGCCTCTTCCTCATGGCCACCTGTCCTCCCATTTTTGTTTACTAGCACAGTGTCCCACCCACAAGTTTGAATATTAGAATGATGAGCTTGAAAGTTCTTTCAACTAGGCTCCCCCAGTAAAGCTTTGATGTTGTTTAGGATTTTCATTAGGATTTAAAATGAAATCCTAATGAGGAAAATTGGAAAGTTATCTTACTCATCCTATTTATTATCTTATTATTTGACACCATAATATCCCACACTCTGAGTTTTGGTGCCAGGGATTTGGCCAGTTACTTGAGACTATATGTAATAAGTCTGAGGCCAAGAAGGGTTAAATCTTAGCCTCTGCTTCCTCTTCTCCACTCATCTCAATGGACATTTTCTGAGGAACAATGTGTAAGGCATGAGGCTGGCCCCATGGGAATACCCAGAGAAGCCAGGCAGATTCTAAGTACACAAGTGAACTGGCATCCTGGTGGAAGAATGTGTTCTCACCCACAGGTGTCAGCGACGGAGGATGGGAACGTGGTCAAGGACTCCAATGTGGTGCTGGAGATCCCAGCTTCCACCACCATTGCCTATGGCATCATTGAGTTGTATGTGAAGCTGGATGGCCAGTTTGGTGAGTGTTAGCCTCTTGATAATTGAGGGGCACCTATTCTTTCCCTGAGGCACACACTTGTAGAGGATCCCTTACTGCTTTGGAGATCATGGGGAGAGAAGCAAGAGATATCAGAAGAGAATATCCAATGACCCATTCCCTGAACCCATGGGATGCACTGGGAAGGCTTTGGGGAAGGGATATGAGGAGCAGCTTCACTTTCTTCCCCCAGACACTGGTGTGGGACAAGGTTTCTTCAGAACAGCACAGATTTAAGAAGATAGACAACCCCATCACCACCACAACCTATGAGGTCTTGGGCAAGCTGTTGAATCTTACTGAGTCTTAGCTTACCCTTCTTTAGAAGGGGAAAGATTCCCTCATGGGGTTATGGTAAGGATTAAATTAGATTAGACATCAGAAATGCCTGGCACAGGGGCCATTTATTAAATATACCACCTTAGCTGTTAAAAATATTGCCATCATTGTTATTATCTCCTCCCCTCCCCCAATATGAAGCCAGAAGTACTGAATCCTCTACTGATCACCAGTGTGTCCAATGCTTGGAGATCCTGGTCATTGCCATAGTTTGAAGGAAAGAAGGGCTTTAATTTAGCTAGTATCTGCTGATCTTAAATGCTCACGCTCCTTCCCTCATTCTCCTCCCACAAGGAAGTTGTGTTGAGCCCAAGAAAACTAGCTACTTCTTGGGGATGTGCATACGTAAATAAAATATAATAAATTATTATTAATATTTTTAGGTATGATAGTGATAACTATGGTTATGTTTACTGAAAAAACTCCTTATTTTTTAAAGATTTATATTGAAATATTCACCAATAAAATGGTAATATATCTGTGGTTTGATTAAAAAATAATATGGGTGGAGTTTAGGGTGTATATGTGTGTTGTGGGGAGGGCTGGGGTGAAGAAGATTGGCCATGAGTTAATCGTTGTTGAAGATGGACAATGGGTCCTTATGCTGCTGTCTCTGTTATTGTACAATTTGATATTTTTTGTAATAACTCAAACCAAACTCACTGCTTTTGAGTTGATTCCAACTCACAGCAACTCTATAGGACAGAGTAAAACTGCCCCATAGTGTTTCCAAGGCTGTAAATCTTTAAATATTTATAGAAGCAGACTGCCACATCTTTCTTCCAAGGAGTGGCTGGTGGGTTCAAGCCACCCAACCTTTTGGTTAGCAGCCAAGAGCTTTAACCACTGTGCCACCAGATCATCTTTTTTATTTTTTTAAATAAAGTGCCATAACTATGTACATATCTGTTCCTAACTCCTGTTCTTCCCTTTTATTTCCAGTCAAGGGGCAGGATCAGGGGAGTTATTGTTGTTAGGTGCCGTAGCATCGTCTCCGACTCATAG